TCCCTTTTTGTGTAGAAATAGAGACAATCCATGACTTACCTCCTTATTCTTCTTTGGAAAGCCAGTCCTGGCTGCTGTGGCTGTGTGGTGTGGTCTGTAAGCCCTGTCAGCCTGGGGGTGACCTCCTTCTGGGCACCTCTGGGCTGACACAGCCTCAGAACTGCCCCTCCCCTGTCCTGAGTGCTTGGCACAGCATGAGATTCCTTTTTGTGTAGAAATAGAGACAATCCATGACTTACCTCCTTATTCTTCTTTGGAAAGCCAGTCCTGGCTGCTGTGGCTGTGTGGTGTGGTCTGTAAGCCCTGTCAGCCTGGGGGTGACCTCCTTCTGGGCACCTCTGGGCTGACACAGCCTCAGAACTGCCCCTCCCCTGTCCTGAGTGCTTGGCACAGCATGAGATTGACCCCATCAGAGGGGAATCAATCTCCCTACAAGTATGTTCTCACCTAAATTACAGCTCATTATTGCAATGTTGGAAGAAGCCTTGAGTCACAGACAATGTAAAAGCCTATTTACCAATGCAATACTTCACCTCACCTCTCCCTGCTGTTTTTCTCCGAGGTGCTGACACTGTCAGTGTTGATGTACCCAGTGCTGAGGAGCCTGGCACTGCAGCTGCACTCTGCTCTCACTGGCAGCTACGTCCCAGGGTCACACTCCATCGCCTTCATCAACTGCCTCAACGAGCAGATCGCCAAGGATATCGCCAGGTATGGAGGTCCTTCACCTGCTTGAATGCTTGAATGCTTGCAAAGCAGCTTCTTGTGGAATATAGCTTGTCCTGGTCCACTAAGAGGATTTGTACCTCTTTGCATTTTCTTTGCATTTTCACAGGTTGCCCAGAGAAGCTGTGGCTGGTCCATCCCTGAGAGTGTTCCAGGCCTGGCTGGATGGGGCTTGGAGCAACCTGGGCTAGTGGAAGGTGTCCCTGCCCATGGCAGGGGGTGGAATAAAATGAGCTTTTAAAGTCCCAGCCCAAACCAGTCTGGGATTCCATGATACCTGAATGGTGCTCCTTTTTGCTGACCTCTCTGTTTGTGGTCAAACCCCCTCACCAACAGCTGTTCTGTCTCAAAGTGAGCTGACAGTTGCCTCTGAAGTCACTGCCATGCTCACACCAAGCCAATTCTCAATTTATTCCACTGCCTTTCATTTTCAAGACCCATTTTAAAGCCATGACCCTGAATCTCCATGTCTTCAGATGATTTAAGCCCCAGCCCCATGTTCTCTCACCTGCCACAGTCTTTCTTCTTCTCTAGGACAAAACAGATAGCAAAACGTGGGAGAGGTGTTTGTAGAGCACAGCACCCTGCCATGAAATGGAAGAATTAAAGACCAGTTATCCACAGCAAACACTTGTGAGCTACCACCTGGGAGCTGCTTTGCTCACCAGGCAAACTTCAGGGAGTAAGGACTTCACCTCCATCTTTTTCCTCCTCTTTTAATATATGAGATACTTTGCATGCAGAGTTTTTTTTCACACATCTGTCAGTCCCTGACTCAATGGATGGTTTGTTCAAAGTACTGAACCCATGTTGACTGGGGAAGTGTTTATGATGGACCGTGAAGTTTCCTGCAACACCTCCTGCGCTGTTTTCCCTGCTGCTTGCCAAAACCTCTCAGTCTCCAGTAAGCACTCCCAGACAGTCATTCAGGAACTGACAGGCTACTGAAAGGGATTTTGTGTCACCTTAAATACTGCAACTGTATTAAGAAATTCAAATAGAATTATATCTGCACTGCTCGATGTCATCTGTAGAAAGGAGTGACTGTACATGGCTGGTGAAAGAGCCTCAGTGCCTGAAAATGCCTCATCTTAACAGCTTTGCAAAGGCTTTCCACTCTTTGTTCCTTATCTTGCAGGAAATAAATCACTCCCCTTCACTGAGATATCTGTACTCTGACTGTGGGTTTACTGGTGGAGTAATTATTCCTTTGTTCTGGAATTTGGATGAATGAGCCATGGTTGGAGGGGATGACACAGAGCTTCTGTGCTCTTTTCCCCACACACCTTCTTCCTGTGCTGCTGTGTTTATTCTTCCTTTGCATTGCTCAGTGGAGCTCTCACTCTGATGGATCAGTCTGCAAGAAAACTTTCCACTAGTTTTAAGGGGTTCAAGCTTTGTGAAAACAGATTAGCTGCAGGTAGAACTCACCACCTGGATTGTTCGTGGCATCACTTCTAACCCAGTTTATCTGAATTATTAACTTAAAACTCTCAGATGAAACCCCTGGAGAGATTTCCCCTCTCCCCTGGAAGGAGTTGACCCTCTTGGGCTGGGTGATGTGGCCACTGCACCTCACACAACCCCCGAGCAGCCTGTCAGCCCCTGCTGCTGCCCCAGACTGTGAATGTCATTTTCTTGGCTTTTCTGCTTATTAATATTTAATCTGCCTCAATTCAGAACCTATTGTGAGGCAACAACAAAGAAACACACATTAAGTGCCCAACCCAGAGCTATCATGTATTATGCAGACGTTTTCCACAGCTCACATTCAGCTCCTTATATTGTTTCCCCTTTCCATGGTGACTCCTTGTTCCTGCAAAGCTGCTAGAACAAAGTTCAGGGTCTCAGTTAGGATCACAGTTCATTGGGACAGAGCACCCAAATCAAAAGGTTCCTGTGCTAAAGTGACTTGGAAGTTGTAGGCGGCAAAACCAGAATGATTTGTGCCACATGTGACATGACAATCACAGCAGGGATGTCTCTGCTCATGCTGCTGCAGCTTGTTGCTCTAAAGATTAACTCAAGATGCTCCACAAGCATTAAATGCCTGGAAATGGCTACACATGGTGAGGACAAACAACTTGGAGCCTCCTCAGATGTTGTCTTCCTAAGCCACCAGTCCATCTCCATAACCTTTGTCTTTAAACACAATCCTAGTAGTGATTTGGGTCCAGGCACTGCTGGAACAGGAAGATGTAGGATCATCAGCAAGGGTTTCATTCTTTAGCTCACCAAGAGTTAATTTTTGCAGGTTGGCAAATCAAGCCCTCCAATATCTAATAACTCCTGTATTCTCAGCAGTTCAAGGTCATCTAGGACTTAAATGGTTGCACTGCCGAAGCTCTTGGTACAAAGTAGTGCCCAGGGAGGAGAGTGTTAAAGAAAACCAAAGGTGAAGTCACTGGTGCAGGGCCAAGGCTGCCATCTCTGTGAGAAGGGCCACACACTGCTGTGGTCCCAAAACACAACATTTGCCCTTTTTCTTCTGAAAATCCACCCTGAAATTGCTGCAGTACTCTATAATCACTTAAATATCACTTCTGCTGGCAGACCCGAGCAGCTCTGCAATAACAAACCAGCCCACAACTAAGGAGGCAGACAGAGGGAAGGGATTTGTTCAGGCTTCGGATTTCTAGGACATTTTGGGTAGAAAACCTCGACGTTGTTCATTTAACAAGATCCACATTTAGGCTGCTCTGTGAGGAAGAGGCACAGTCTGACAGAATAAATACATGACTTGGAGACAAACCCATCCACGTCCATCCCAGCCCTGGTTCTTGTGGCCCCATGGCTGGGTGGGCACAGGGCTGGCACTGAGCAGGGTCCTTGCACTGGTTCCTTGTGCTCCCCAGTCAAGGAACAACACTCAACCCTCCTGCTTGGCACAGGAGGACAGCAAGGAGGGTCTCAGAGCCCTGCCAGGAGAACCTAAGCTGAAGTACCTCCACCTTTGCTTTTGCTTTTTCAGGGTAATAATTAACCCAAAATTCCACGTCTCCAAAGCCAAACCTGCTGCTGGCAGTCCAGGGAAGCATGAGGGAATGTCCCTGTGGCTGTGGGTGAGCACTGAGCTGTGATGTGCTGGGGGCAGGCACTAACTCCCCTCCTGTCTCCCCCAGGGCCATCATGGATAAGAAGCTGGCTGCCTACGTGAACATCCTGCCCAAGAGCTCAGCCTTGTAAGTTGGGCTGAATATTCCCCAACAGAGGAGGCAAACCAGGCTCCCTGCAGGGGGAAGGAGGAGATGGACACCCCATGGCCCTGGGGAGAGGAGGAAGTTTCCAGGAGGCTGCTGGGTCTGTTTGTTGTTGCAGATGGTGGAAATGATCCTCACCGTGCTCTAAGCTTATTAAGAAGTGCAGATGCTCCAGCTGCCCCTGGGGACCGTTTATTTATTGGTTACTCGGCTACACAGAGATCCACTAATTTAGGATTTATGGTCTTGAGGACATGGCACCTGTTTTAAGTGGTTCTAAAAAGAAGCTAAGATGGGCACCAGAAAGGGGCTTTATAATATTAAGCAGCTCTTTCCAGAAGGGAGAACAGCATTTTTAACCTTGAAACACGACCAGCCATGCTCTGCAGGTGTCCTCAGCTGTCCACACAAAGGGATTGCTTTCTCCTTAACCCCCAAAACAGCCTTTTGCTCATAGGAGCAGCCTGGCCAAGCCCTGACAGAAGAGGGGAGTAGATCCCCTCTGCAGCCTCCCCACAGGAGGACATCCTCACATTGCACCCCCAGCCTCTCCCATAGCCCTGCTGAGACTGCTGAAATAGGGCAAACCCAGTAATATCCTTCTTGCCCTTATTTTTCATTCCCTACAAGCCCCAGCAGCTGGAACAGAGCTGCTCCTGCACAGCCCTGTCTGCTCCAGCTCTGGTTTCTGCTCCATACCCAGCTCAGGAGACACTGTGACGCCTCCGAGTCCTCCTCATGCAGGAACCCAGTGTGCAGATGAAATCATGATGGCCTTCTGGCAGCATAAATGTTTTGAAAGGTCATATCTGACTCATGAGAAGTACATCTCCTCTCCTGCAGGGAAAGACAGGAAAAAGTAGGATGCTGCTATGCTCAGCCTCTCAGCCGCAGTCCCTGCAAGCACCAGCACCAGCCACTGCTTAGAGCAGAGCCACCAGCACAGCCCCCCATGGGCAACCCAGTCCCAGCAAATTTGCAATGCCATTCTCCTTGGGCAGCTCTCTGGAGGATGACCCAGCCAAGAAGGCTCTGGTGCATGAATCCAGGGTGCTCAGTCACATGCTCAGCAGAGTTTTGGGACCAGCGATGCTTCTTGAGCCACTTCATAAAAAAAACAGCCACGTGCAGAAAGCACCAAGCAGGGAAAGTAATCCCCTGGGGGTCAGAGCTCTATTTGCTGATGATGCTTTTCTTTTAAATCCAGGTATTTCTGGAAAGGGGAACTAGAAGAATCCACTGAAATACTGCTGGTAAGTGATCGTTCCCTAAGTCAGGAAAATCCCTATTGCAAACAGCCCCAAGCCAAAAGGGGCTGCAGGGAGGTTTGGGGAGGGGGGAACCAAACTGCCCAGGGTTTAGGACAGGACCCCAAACATCTGCCCGTGGGCATGGCAGTAGTGGCTGGGCGTGGCAACCTGGTCCAGCCCCTCCTGTTGCCACAACAGGGACATTCCCAGGGAAGAGCCCAGGAGGGATTCCTGTTGCACCACTGGCTGTGCTGGATGAGTGCAGTGGAACTGCATGTGCAGGATTGATCTTCACATCTCCCTTGGGTTTTGTTTTGGTTTTTTGCTCTCCACAGTTAGTGAAAACAAGGACATCCAAAATAAGTGAATTGTCCAACTACGTCAGGTGAGGTTCTGGCTCCGTGGGAGCACTGGGTATCCAGTCCAAGGTAGGTTGTCACCTCCTGCTCAGGCTTTGGGAGTTCCTTGAACCACTTCCCACCCAGGGAAGTGTTCCTGGTGTATCTGAGAGCCAGAAAAACCAAGAGCTGACAGCAAAAAAGAAAAGATGATGGGAATATCAACTATTGGGCTTCGACCAGCCCCTCTGTGCTGGACACAAGGAGCGATTCTTCTCCTCACCCAGGTTATTCCCTGGCAGCCTTCTGGCAGGATTTCCTGCAATTCCCAGGCACTGAGGGGCGAGCATAGCCAGCTTGGGGCCAGGCCCCCCAGCAGTCAGCTGCTGCCTGTGGTAAACCCCAAACTCAAAGCAAAATTCCCACATGGCAAGAAGAAGCTGCGATGCTTTGAAGTGAGCAGAGTGTGGGGCAGGGCTGGGGTGCATGGCTGGGAGCACAGGGCTCAGCTTCCTGCACTGGGAGCAGA